TCCAGCTCTGGAGTCCTCAACATAAGAAGGACATGGACCTTCTGGAGCGTGTCCAGAGGAGAGCCACGAGGATGATCCAAGGGCTGGAGCACCTCTCTTATGAGGAGAAGCTGAGAGAGTTGGGGCTGTTCAGCCTGGTGAAGAGAAGGCTCTGGGGAGATCTTATTGCGGCCTTCCAGTACCTAAAGGGGGCCTACAGAAGAGCTGGGGAACGACTATTTACCAGGGCTTGTAGTGAGAGGAGGAGGGGGAATGGCTATAAACTAGAAGAGGGCAGGTTTAGATTAAATGTTAGGAAGAAGTTTTTCACTTTGAGGGTGGTGAGGCACTGGAACAGGTTGCCCAGAGAGGTTGTTGAGGCCCCATCCCTGGAGGTGTTCAAGGCCAGGCTGGATGTGGCCTTGGGCAACCTGGTGTAGTGGGAGGTGTCCCTGCTCATGGCATGGAGGTTGGAACTCGATGATCTTCAAGGTCCTTTCCAACCTAAACCATTCTATGATTCTTTATACCTATATTAGTTGTACCACCAGGTCGGCTCACTAGATCCTACAAGCTTTGTCTACATTGGCAAGTCACATCACACCAGTTGGCGTGGGATCCAGTGTTCACATTATATTCATTTTGTTCTACTTCAGAGTAGCACTTCAGGTGCTTTCTTGGAGTGCGTTGTCCAGCTTAATCAGAAAGATACCTGGTTTATGTAGGCTGAGACTATTCCATGATGCAAACGAAAGCATTTTAAGTGGGAACAATGAGAGATTTGCATCACAGCACTTTATTCATCTGAGACAAAACACTGCTATATGTGCTCCTGTAGTTGCTGTATTGACCTTACTGTTTGTGAAGAGAGAGGGAGGAGGAGTTAGCACCAGGTAGTCTGCCCTCTGAATGTTTTTATCTGTCTCCGAGTAGGGAGCCTAGGTAAGCTCCAACAGGTAAGCTCCTGTTGGTGTCTCCAGTGCTTTAGTACTGGGCGTTTCTACGTTTTTGCCTTACTGTCTTTAAGGCATATTGAACTGCCTTCTGATGAATTGTTGTTACTAACAAAGAACATGGAGAGTTAATCTAAAGTGCAGATAATACTCACTGTTTATTTTTGAACCAAGCAATTTTTAAGGAATCTTTCTAAGGAATCTTTTAAGGAATTCTTTTCTTGCTGACATAAGGTTAAGACTGGAGGAGTCTTAAAACCTTAAATGATTTCTCAATTACTGAACCTGCAGAGGCTTCTTGACCAGGTGATCTAAGTCATAATTATCCTTTTCCCATTACCCTTTCATTGCCATGATTTTCTGATTTTTCACTGCGTTCTATTTTTTACAAAGAAAAGTTAATAAAGCATATACATCAGGGCTTTTTAGTTATGTGTGAGTGTTAGGAATTACTGCCCTTCTCAGGAGCAGCTACTTCTGTTTCTTTGTTTCATTTCTCCTCCACCAATGTCTGTCTTCACTACCCACATCCTGCCAAATGGTCTGTTGTAAATATTTTTATTACTTAACAATGAATGATGCATTTTTTCTTAAGAAAA